CTGGGGAAGGTGAGTGTGGTGGATCTTCTGTGCCCCCCACCCCCACCCCCCACCCATTTCCCTATTCCCTATTCCAACATGGGCCTTTGCAAATGATGTACCCACTGGGCAAGCCATTGGGAATCCCTCATTATGAATCCAGACATTCTATGTTCTCTTTGTATAAGTCCCAAACTCTGTTTACTGAAAACACACACACACACACACACACACACACACACACACACACACACACACACACACACACCATTTACAGATTCCGTTTTCCTCTAAGGACCAAAACCTCGACAATGAAGCAAAGCTTGACGAGAGTAGATGTACTGCATGTATTCTGTGCTATGTAAATTGGAGTTAAAGCATCCAATTTTTATGCAAATCAACTTCTAATGCAGAGTAAAGGCTCAGAAGCTCCATTTCCCTCTAGCCTGCTCACATACAGAACTGTAGACCTAGTAGCAAAACGATTCAGCTCCTCTTAGAAACACTTGGTGGGCGCGACTGCACCATGGGCGAGCCTCTGGTTTCAAACTATGGTGCGGTGGGGTGGGCTGAGACATGGCATGGCTCCCACAGGGCCGTGGCAGCCACTCCATCAGGAGCTGCTTCTGACCGATGAGAAGTGAGATGGGGTCAGACAGGGGCAGCCTGTAGTTTTGCTCAGTCATGAGATCTCACCAGAGCTTTTTCCCCAATAGTCTCCTGGACCTTGGTGCTGTGAAATAAAGCCGACGTATGTGGACAGGTCTAGAGTCCAGAGAAATCCATTTCTGACACTGGAAAGACCTCTCTCTGCTGTTACTATTATTCTTCTCATGGTAAAAGGGGACCACTCAGCACAGGCTCCACACAATGCCTTGGGACCAAGTTTGAATGGGGTCTCACACTTTGAGGAGCTCCCAGGCTTAGTGGGAGGCAAAGCAGCAGGCAAGAAGAATCAACAGACAAATGCATATGAGGGCTGTGTCCTGCGATGGAGAAGAGAAACTAGCCAGGTGCTGAGGACCACAGAGCACGGGTTGGGAGAAGGAGGCAGGGAAGACGTGCTAGTTCTAGAGATGACCTTAGAAGTGAGTCCCACTGCAGAATCAGTCTTTGGAGCATGAAGGCAATGACCCAGTGGTTGACAGGGCCAGACGCATCCTGGGAACTGCAAGTGGTTACATTAGTAAGAATGGAATGAAAGCGGGTGGGGTGAATGGGCAGAGAAGGCTGGGCAGGAGGGGAAAGCTGGGGAGTGTGGGCCGTATCCTTAGGATGCCACTGGTGGTCCAGGCCTGGGAGTGATGGAGCCTCCCTGTCTTTCAGAAAAGCAGCGTTTGGCAGGAGTGTGGGAGGGTGGATTGTGGGAGTATCAGTATCAGGGGCTCGAGAGAAGGAGATGGCTGTGACCATGATAAGATGTCCATGGCTTTGGAACTTGGACTTGGGGATAGGGCGGCCCTTCTGCCACACCCTGGAACTGGGATTCCTACAGTGGGACAAGCACCACCCTCACCCTCTGCAGTTGAAGCATCATTCCAAACTCCATGCCACCCCTGATCATCACCCCATTCTACAGGGATTCGATTTATGCCCGCCTAATGTACTGGGTGCATCACGGCCCGAGTGGGGGGATCTGCCCTTGACACATAACAGATCAATCACTGTGACACAGAAAGTTCTGCTCCCCCCACCCCCCTGTCAAAAAAAGCAAACAACCGAACACCCAGACTGGCTTTCAAAGTGCTGGCAGCAGGCTGTAAACTAATGGATTGTTGGGGTGGAAGAAGACAAAGTGCTTCCTGCGATAGCTGTCTGCAGGGCTTTTTGTAGTTAAATTTTTGCGTGTGCGAAGAACTGTAAAATGTGTCTCCCACACCTCCCCAGCCACCCTCCCGATGTCTCTGCTCGAATCAGTGCTTGTTAAAGCCATCCGACTCAGAAGCAGACAAGATGAGATTGCTACATGATGTGAGCAGATGTGCGTCAACATTGCCTTATAAAAAGGTACTGTTAGGTTGGGCCGGAATGTTCCATCACGAAAAACAGCACGCTGCTTGGGTTCCTAGGGGACTGCCGCAGGGAAGAAGGCTCATACTCCCCTCGCAAGGTCAAGATCAAGCCCCTGCAGAACCTTGTTCAGGTTGAGAGGACAGAACAAGCCCCAGCAGACAGAAGTTGGAGGGTGATAAATAGGTTGCCTTAGAACAGTGGTTCTCAACCTGTGGGTGGTGACCCCTTTGAGGCTCGAATGACCCTTTCACAGGGGTCACCTAAGACCATCAGAAAATGCATAAATATTTCACAATATGTAATTATATATTGTTTTGTGATGAATCACTATGCTTTCGTTATGTTTAATTATTTCAATTTGTAACAATGAATATATATTCTACATATCAGATAGTTACAATACGATTCATAACAGTAGCAAAGTGACAGTGATGAAGTAGCAAGGAAAATAATTTTATGGTTGGGGGTCACCACGACATGAGGAACTGTGTTAAAGGGTCGCGGCATTAGGAAGGTTGAGAACCATGGCCTCAGAAGCATTTTCCAACAATTGAACAACAACAACAACAACAACAACAAACTTCTCAACAAAAGTGTGCTGAGCTGTGAAGTAGTGAACAACTCATCCCAAGGAGCCTTCATGTTGACACTGGATGATGGCTGTCCAGGAAACACTTACCCAGAGGGCTCCTTTGATGGCTGGTAGGAAAAGCTGGAACACATTTAAGGACTGCAAGAGGGACCGTGGTTGCAGGACTCATGGCAGCAGTAGAGGTTCAGTGGTAGAACCCTCACTTTCCGTGCTGGGGTCCCCGGTTCAATTCCCAGCCAGTGTCGCTCACGCACAGTCACAACCCGTGTGTCAGTAGAGCCTTGAGGGTTACTGTGATGCTGAAGAGCTTTCAGCAGAGCTTCCAAACCAGCACGGATTAGGAAGAAAGGCCTGGTGAACCGACTGCTCACCACCAGCCAATGGAGACCCTATGGATCAGCCTTGTTATGAAGATGGAGCCAAGGGCAAAGAAGTAAGCCCCGCCCCTCCCGAAACGGAAGCCAAAGCAAAGGCATTAAAGGCCACGAAGGCCGTGCCACAAAAACCAAAAGAAACCTGTGCGTCACCCACCTTCCGGAGGCCCAAGCCCCTGAGGCTAAGGAGGCAGCCCAAGTGCCCTCGGAAGAGCGCCCCCAGGAGAAGCAAGCTGGACCATTATGCCATCATCACATTCCCCTTGACCACAGAGTCTGCCGTGAAGAAGATCAAAGATAACAACACACTGGTGTTCACTGTGGCTGTCAAGGGCAACAGGCACCAGATCCAACAGGCTGTGAAGAAGCTCTATGACATGGACGTAGCCAAGGTCAACACCTTGATCGGTCCTCGTGTGACAAGAAGGTATACGTTTAACTGGCTCCTGATTATGATGCTTTAGACATTGCCAACAAAATTGGAATCATCTAAACTGAGTCCAGCTGACTAATGCTGGACAGGGCAGGGGACACACTTTTCAATACATTAAAAAAGAAACCAACAACACCCTATGGATCACATGGTCTGGTATGCAACCGACTAAGGGGATAGCACAAGTCCAGGCTGAGCCTTCTTCTGTTAATGTATGGGATGGCCAGGAGTCAAGAGGCCGACGGACGTCATTGCCCCATTGTCCCACATGATAACAATGGCCAATGCTGCCCCTCTCCTCACCAGGGAAAACCCTACCACATCAACAACACCAAAGGTCTGTCTGGCTTCAAGCTCTCCTGGGCCATGTCCGGCTGACCTGACCTCAAGCCCTATCACGTGCCAAACGGCCCCACTGGGCCACTCAAGTGGGAGCTGGCAGTTCCTGTTTTGTTTGTGAAGCGTCCACGCTGGCCCCCGGATGGCAGGAGGAGGACTTCTCTGATGGATTTCTTTCCACTGCCCAGTTTGAGAGAACAGATGCTGTGGGTCAGGCCAGCAACCATGAATTTCCAGGAAATATCACTTAGTGACCGCGGAAGAGAGCCATCAAACTCGTGGGAGGCAGTGCTGGGGGGGGAAACAAATGGCAACAGAGAGCAAGCGGACGGACTTGCTGACACGTGCCAGGAGGTGCCCCGTGGGTCACTCATTCTCTTGGCATATAGGAGGACCCTAAAGCCAGTGTTCAACAAGCTCCCGCATGTGGAGGGAGGCAGTGTGGGCCCTGACACCCCAGGATCCGTCGTCTCCCCCCACCCAGATTCATGTGCCTCTAGGTGGCAGGCACCATTCTCAATACTTGGGGATCGAACCGAGAAACAAAACCCATACACAGCCCTGTCCTGGTGGATGTAGGGAGCTCTTAGGAGAGAAGCAGACACACTGACCTCGCTGGATTTGAACAATCACCCTGAGAAGTAGGGTTATTATCTTCACTGTGCACACTCTGCACGCAGGAGGAACATACAGGTCCTTTCGTGTCTTTCTGACTCGCAGCCTCAGTGCTCTGGGCCGTGGCCAGGCCTGACCCTCACGTGCCCCGCTTTTAACTTCTTAAGCCAGCTCTTCCATCCTCCCCCCTGCCTCCTGCCCTGAAAGCCAAAGGTCTGATATCTCACAGGCGTCTGAGACAATTCATCACGACCCCCCTCATTTGCAGTGTTCGGCACACCGACAGATGTTCGGGGTGGCATTGCCATGCCTGTTCCTCATTCACTCTGGCCAGTCTCCTTCCACCTGTAGCCTCCCAAGACCACAGCCCTAGGTCAAGTTGATTGTGGGTTTTTCCTGGTCTTCTTGCCACCCAGCTCCCCCCAAACACAATGCCCAGCCATGTTTTCCTGGGGCCAGGCGCCCCCACTCCCAGCAATCACCTTGGCCTTCCCCCAGCGGAGTGGATGTGCTCACCCTCTCTCGGGCCCTCACACATCTCTCCACCAGCTCTGTGCCAGGCCCAAGGAAACAGGGCCCCACAGGGCAGGGGACAGAGCAAGGCCGATGGATGCAGAGGGTGGGAGAGGTCTGGACGCCTAGGGCAGGAACTCACCAAAGTTCTCGCCACCCCAGATGTCCATTTCTGTGTCATATTTCCCCAGGTGGTTGAACCAAGACTTCTGGATCACGAACAGCCCTCCGCTTATGATCGGTGTCCTGGACATGGGGAGGGAAAGAAGGAGACTCTTTTAAAGGGTGTGGAGGGGGGGGGTATGCTCACATTCGTCTGGATTGTAGTCCAGATGCAAGGCCATTTCCCTCCTGTTTCTGCTCGTCTTCAGAAAGGCTAAGACATCTTCCAGTTACCCAGACCCAGAACACGCTACCAGGTGTTCCTTGGAGGCAAACTCCCCTGATGTCACAAACTCCCCTGATGACAGGAGGATGTGGCAAACTCCCTTGCTGTCACAGACAGGAGGGTTCACTCAGCAGCATGCCTGTTGTGGGAAGCTGGGACTCACGCAGGACCCCAGCTGTTCTAAGGGGTTGCGTGTCACCTCGGGTCCCTCCCACAGGCCTGGCCAGTGTGGTTCTCAAGGGAACTCTATTGTGGGAGCCAGCACTGACCAGAGTATAGAGAATAAGGGCTGAAGCAGCACCTGATCATATCACATCCATGAGGCAGCACCTGATCACAGCACACCCCTTAAACTGGACTCTTTCCCCCTTTTAACTCCTTCCCCTCATTTCCATTTCCTTGGGGCCTCACAGGCAACCTCCCCTGGGTTTTGATTGCTGAGAGAGATGTCAGAGAGGCTGCTTGGAAAGGAATGGGCTTGAAGAGGAAGCAGGCAAGGGCGGCAGAGCCCAAGAAAAGCCACGTGGCAAGCTCAAGGTGGTACAGGAGGTCCGAGTGTCTGTAGGAATCAAGGGCTAGGGCTGGCGGAGAACCCTTAGGGACCTATATCCTTATTCAGTGGGTCCAGAGGGCCAGGGGGCAAAGTGACTTTTCTCCTGGACCAAACAGTCAGCTGAGGAGAGCAGATGAAGTCTTTCAGATGCCAGGACACCTTGCTGATCCTTAGTCCTGACCTCAATTTGGTGAGCAACCGTGTGGGATGAATAGAGGCTGCCCCGTAAAAGGAGAAACCACCCAAGTGCTACAGCTTGGGCAGAGAAGGGACAAAACCCAAAGCCAGCTGCTCCAGCAGCCTTGTCCTTGACTTGGTGCCCTCCTTTGAGGTGCTGAGACAGGTGGACACTCGTCCTAGGCCCTCACCCTACATGCCATGGCTGGCCCTGGCTAGGGCTGAGGAGGCACCTCAGCAGGCCAAGAGGTTTCTCTCATCCCTTTAGACACAAAGGGTACCATCTGGTTCCAAACTCCCTCTTGGCATCACTTCCAATCAGGAGGAGAGAATGGCTCATTCTGAGTCCCCACCCATCTGTCTGGGGTGTCACCATCCAATTCTTCATAACCTCTTGGGCCAACTTGATGAAAGTTGTCAAATATTGCACAGCAGGAGTCAGAGATACATAGACACTCTAGAGCACCGGTTCTCAACCTGTGGGTCGCAACCCCTTTGGGGGTCGAATGACCCTTTCACAGGGGTCGCCCGATTCATCACAGTAGCAAAATTATGGTTATGAAGTAGCAACGAAAATAATTTTATGGTTGGGGTTATCACAACATGGGGAACGGTATGAAAGGGTTGCGGCACTAGGAAGGTTGGGAACCACGGCCCTAGAGCATCGCTGGTGCCCCGTCCATGGCTGGGCTGAGAAGGCCCAGGCTAGAGCCTTTTCTGTGATGCTCCGGGGCCTCTTATGATTCTCTTCACACCTCATGGATCCCCAAAGAGGCCTGAGACATGTCTGCCATCCACTCTACTTAGGTAAAAATATTAAGGCCATTGAGACAGTTTATTGTGCCAGCCTGGCTGGTAAACGCAGGTGGGATTGACTGAGGGGCGGAGAGATGGATGGCTTGGTGAGCCTTGCCTTTCTTGTCTCT